GAAGCCTCTCACCACAGCGCTGGGAACATAAGGAGCAGTGCTACCCCCTTTTTTCTCTTGTGCCTTTCAGGTGAACGACAGCCACTGACCGACAAGAACAAAACCGACCCGGGAAATTTGGGCAAAAGCCTCGATCCTGTGTATCAATCCGTGAATCCGTGATGCATTGGTGGTCGTGCCCCCAGCAGCATACGCAGTCCAAAATAACCGAGTTTTCCGGTTATACGACGGTTATATAACCGTCTAATAACCGACTTTTATGGTTAACAGATGGTTATTTGCACCAAGATAACCGTCAAATAACCGAGTTGTCAGAATATTGCTCGGTTAAATAACCGTCAAATAACTGTCTGCCGGTTATCGCCCGGTTAAATAACCGTCAAATAACCGACTTTAACCGCCATATAACCGACTAATAACCGAGTTGTGCTGCTAGGAGCACAACCCATCGCTACGCACCCCGACGCTTCCTAACAACGCAGTGATGTCACCCCGATTGGTTATTAATTGTTTGCAATCAAATCGCCCAGCTCAGCGAACAAACCAACGACAGCCATCCCTGAGTAGGCTCACAAGCCGTACACACCATACCACTAGGACCGGCCGGTTCAATTAGGCCATGTGGCGCCATAGGCAGTGATCATCAAAATGGAGGCCAGTGTAGTATACGGTGCATACCATTTTGTTTGATTTATATGTATGCATTGGTGATGTAAAAGCTTGCTTTTTGGGTTTAGGGTCGTGAGCTTTCTTTCAGCTTTCCATCCTCAGAAATTGTGAACCCCTGCCTTCAGAGAACCACTGGCCCCCTGATGCTTCCATAGCCTGCATAATGCACATATCATACATCCAAAAAATGAAAGTGAAAAATGGATAGAACAACAACGAAGACAAACCATCGTCTGACGGGGAAACAGGCGTGGCCGTTCGGTTTCCCGCCTAAATCGTGCGCAGGGCCAAATTTAACTGCAGGAGAAAACTAAACAAAAAGGAGTTTGCAATCTTCAGTTTGCGGGGAAATTGGACCTCCAAAACCTTTTCAAACGCATTCATGGCATTTTCTCCTTGAATGTTTTTGAAAAATTGGACGCTTCGCTTCAGAAGCCATCGAAAATCGCGAGCGCCTTGTCCCTAATGGACAGAGGGACCTGAAAATTTCAATGAATGCAGATTTAGCCCATTCGTTGGGGATTCTTCCCTGAGATACCTGGTCCTGAAGGACATGACCCGCAGATACGTGTCTCCTCTGGTCTAAACCAAAATGGGCGCAGACTTGGGGCAGCCGAACCCGCTGAAAAAATGTCCTGGGATCTGCATATAGTTTCACATCTGCTACCGCATACACAGATTACGAGGGGAGGCTAACGGTTTCGTTCAGGTGGTAGAACTGAACAAATTTCGACAAACGATTTCCGTTTTTAAAGCTAACTTAACACTGGTGAATTTTTAGTCGGCTCACAAGGTGTCCCATCAAGGCAGAGATCGTTGTTGCCGGTACTACGTCCATCAATCCACTGGCAACAGGCAATCCATGTAGACCTCCTAAAATCTCGCCGGGTGTCCTGCCGCCCCCAGTCTGCATACTTTAAGGTTATGCCCGTCGCCTGCATTTGAACAGTCATTCGAGTCCCATCGAACTTTTCATTCGTGTCAAAGTTTGAAAATGCTAGACCACTACTGTAGGGCCACTTCTGTCCTTGTAGGGCTTCTGTCGCTAAACGATGGTTTACTTTACTCAGTTTCGGGTCAACCATGGCCCAGTGAGCCGAGCAACTCGGTCTAGTGTTTCTAGGTCATTGAACTGGCAGCTCGGAGAAAGTGGAGACGTTGTGCAGCACTTAAGACACAACGCCTTTGGTGGTCGTTGGCTTGTTCGCTGAGCTGGGCAATTTGATTGCAAACGTTTCATCACCAATCGAGGTGACATCATCAGTGCGTTATTGTGGAGCGTAGCAGTGCGTAGCGGTGGGTTGGTGGTTGTGCCTCTATGGACAACGCCTTTACCTGTAAAACATTTGCGAAAGGAATACTTTCTTTTGATATTGTTTGTTTGTCTTGTTTCACATATGCATAAAAACAGGAAATCATCCGAATTGAGGATCCTTGACCGCACAATAGCTGCGAAAGCATTGCGAGTGGAACAAAACTTTTATGTCAACATAGTGCATTTGTTGAGTATTTGCTAAGACAAAAACATTAAGTTGCTCACTAAATTTCATTGTCCATTGAAGCAATCATGCCTCTGGTGGGAAAATCCTGGTGGAACGCTTCCCTAGCATCAATGGGGCCCTTGGATGCGCCGCTCAGTATTTGAATAATTGGATCAATTTCTGGAGAGTTACGAGATGTTTATGGCTGCCACCCCTCAGTGTTGAATGTCTGTATATAATGTATATGTACGTGTAATGTGCAAGTTGTCTACATTGCTGATTTGTTGAAGTGCGAATATTCAGTGTCAATAAACATCATCGATTGTTAATACTTTCCTTAATGGGAAATCGCGAGCTAGGACATATGTGACCCACTCACAATGGAGGGGACCTTCAGATATTTTTACAGCTGAGCTAATTTCCTGAGCATTTTAGAATTTATTCCGTCCTATAGGATGCAAAATATGCGGAGGCACCATTGCTCGACACCTGCTTACCGGTTAAAATTGCGTGAGCCGCGTTCACTTTAGGCGAAAAGTCATGCACGTTTGTTATCAAACAGCGGAGTGTTTCCTTTTAGCTTGCGCAGAGTACCAGGGAGACCTTGATGATGGCCACCTAGCCCCATGGAACATACGTCGATCGCAGCGGATAGCCGAACGGACTCCACAGGCGCACACGACGAACGTGCAGATAGGGGTCCACTGTGCCTACTCAACTGACCGTAGTGCGCCCTTCCACATTTACCGGGAAATGTTTCGGAAAAGACTATATGAAAAGGCGGGTTATATTTGTCGTTTCAGTGTGTACTTATGTCCCTCGAAGAGGCGCATGAACTTCGTGCGAAGTGTTTATTTGGCCAATGACGACCTGAAACGAGAGAAAGATCCAAGTCACGTTATCGAAATATCATGAGATAGTGGGCTGATAAAATGGGAGGAATAATTACACTAAACTGGAGCACTTCAGAGGCTATGGTGTCGTAGAGGCCTGTATAAACGACGCCCTTTTCAGCGGCTTTCTTCACATGGTTACTTATTTATCCTTGAAGAAATACGAGACTTAAATGAAGTGCATGCGCCTCATAAGCAGACGGACTATTTGAAGTCGATGATCACACGAAATCGTCTTCATCTTTTTCGTCTAGCTGGTGCTCTACGATGTTAGTCGCAGTAATCAGAACCCTACTCGCGGCTGCTGAGTAGTTCCTCCTTGGACCCGAAAACACGGACACAGACTACTGGGGCACACTGTGCTTGGTTTCTGTGCCTTCGTCCATGTCAGCATCATGAGGCGCCATCTTTGCGGATCAGGTAGCAAGCACCCTATGCGTTTTCGGGACGGACTGTGGGCTAAGACCCAAAACAATAATTAGTCTTCTGTGGACTCACACCTGGAACAAGCCTGAGGGGCACCATTTCACAGCGGACAAGGTTCACCATCACAACAGACGGCGTGATATGGTACGCGATGTTGCAGACCATCGGCCACTGGTAGTGGTCGGCTGGCCAAAGTTTGTGTCCCCAGATCACCATCCGGATTGAAGCGCAGCATCGCCGACCATCGGCGGTAGGCCGTCAGTCGCTGTCGTTGAGCCCTGATGCAACAGGAATTGCACCCGAACAATCAGTTTCTAATGATGTCCGTGGCCATTCTGGGTTACAGCCCCTGAAGCTTATCCGTCACTGGGTTCAGCTACTTACGCAGCCCGTTTACGTTGCACATCTTGCTGGCGTATATGCGTTTGCATTATGATAAGCAAAAAGCCTACCGAACGGCATTGTCCAGGTGAGTCTTGCGGTGATATATGCTCCGGCAGTTTTCACTGTCTGTGTGACCAAGAGTACATAGACTTTACATGTTGCAGGCGTTCTTCCCGATAGCTTTCCTGACATAAAATATGCACAACGATGCATCGCAGCCGAACACAATTCTTGCAGCACACATTCGGGCCGCCGACTTGTCCATAACGAAATACTTGACTGGATGCTCTCCCCCATAATCTCTTGGAATAAATCAAGCAATTTACTCATAGGAGCAGACAGTTGACTCTTCACAGATGCCCACATGACTGGACACCAACTACCCATATCATCCGTGATCGGGAAGGTATAAAGCTTGTGTCTACGGGCCGGAATATTGGTTGTTATAAATTATTACGGCTTGTTACGGGCGTTCCGTCTACATTTACTACGGATAAAAAAACGTTGGAACATCCAAAACCGCTGCTATCTGGAGAAGCATACGTGGCTGTAGTGATCATCTATTGACTGCAGCACGAGCACGCGTCGAGTCTCTCTAAGTTTTGCCAAAACCGAAGACATGATAAAATCCAACTATGCGTCACCTACTCAACAGAGCCGGTCGTTACATCATAATTCAGCGGCCGCAATAATTCAAACATTACACGACGGCGTTCTTTACTTCAGAGGGGCCCGACGGGTGCCCCACTAGTCTTAGATTAGCAGTTGATTAACCGGAATCCGACGGCACTGAAGCTTAGAGAACACCTGCTTGTGTTCAGGAAGATAAGAGGCGACTGCAAGGTGATGCCTTTGCCCCCGTGGACAAATTTGCTCTGAACAGCCGGCACTTCGCGTGCTATTTTCATTAAAAAAAACACTCAGCTCACTGGCTTCGCCGGATTTCTTGACTTTTCATTGGTCTCGGAGGTCGCACGATGCATTTGTAGCACATCCTTTCGTTACGCACAACCGTTTTAGTGCTTCGATTAGTGGTGAATGAACAAATGCCACACAATTATCCTTCACGTTGAATTAAGGATTTCTCAAATACCACGGAGGATGAGAATAATACAGCACCAAATTCCTCAATAAACACCTGTGAGGCCACTTCTGAAGCCATCGTATAGCAGGCTCAATGTCGAAAAGAGGCTCATCAAAGGAAAAATCGCAAAAGTGACGGCGAATGAGGGTGATTTTTGCTCTGAGCATATATGTAACAAATGTAAAATTTTGGTGTAAAATGTTTTATTCCCCTGGCTAACGTTTTGCAGGAAAAAGCATTGTGCCTCCAAGGAGCTGCTCGAAATGCCCAAATGTTTGGACTAGTATTCTGAACTCAGTTGCCACTCCGTTCTAGTTCATTCATGGACACGTTGCAGCCTTTTAAAGTCCATTTTCACGGTACGAATACCGAGCGCCGTCACGATTTACTTCAAGTAATCTGCCTTCTGAATTTCGACTTTGAATTTGCCATGCTTTGGCATCGAGCCACTCATCAGAAGTACACCGAAGCTATTTTCGCCGAAAGTATAGCACTCTCAAGGTGTTGACTTTTTTGGAAGTGTGTCTAATTTGTTTGCACCCTGGGATGATATGCTTCTCACATGATTTTGATTAAGTGAGCGAAAGTTCAAGGTCACGGATCATCACCAGTTCTCATTTTGTTGCCAGTTCACAACAGATAAATCACGACTTCGCACTTTAGCACATTATGGCGTTCCTTAAGTATAACGTAGCATTTGCAGAAAATTTATGCAAAGTTCATCCAGAAAAAACGGCCAGTGAAGTTTGTTTGCTTCATACTTTTCATTTTTAACAAATGCGATAAGTTTGTTCGGCAAACTTCGCCACAACACACCTTCCCACGGTGCTCGCTTTCGAAAAAGTATAATATGGTTAGATAACTGCGTGAACTGCATGGCTTAAGTGCAGGGCCCATCTCTGTGAATGACCCTCTTTCCCAGATATGCATTACCGGTCTGTGCATAATAGTGTCACGAGATAACTACAGGTAAGTCACCGTCTACAAAACTCTTGCCTTCT